GCCATGCTCAATTATATCTCTAATAAAATTATCTTTCCAAAACTAGGCTATTACTTAAAAGAGGCCTCTCTGTATCTATTAGTAGATAAGATATCCTGGGGAAACATTAGATGCCATCCAAGTGCAGAAATAGTATCTTTTTGGAAATAAGTCGAGTTAGCCAGACATTACAATTTCTGGTCTTGTATCTGCAAAAGACTTTGTGAAGCCTTTTCTCATTTTGACTTAGGGAGGAGAAATTCTATTCCCTGCTCTGGAATTAAATTGGGATTTCAGAGTGAGGGTGAACATTTATAATGCTTAAGCAGGGTACTATACTGGTAGTTATTTACGTACCAGGGGTGGGGAATGTCTGGCCTGTGGACTGTATAAGGCCTATGAAATCATTTGGCCTGGCCTTGCCAAGGCTTTAGGGGTGAATTAATTAAATGTTTGACCAAATATAGCAGGCTAATTTTTAAAGTGATAATTTTGTATGGCCTGTGAATGATGTTATAAATACCCAAATGGTCCTTGGCCAAAAAAAGGTCCCCACCCCTGAATAAGATCTCTATTCTGAGGAGAGCACTGTAACATTGTCTCACTGAAAAAATAACATTCAAAAGACATAATTTTGACCCATATATTTTCAAGAAACAAACCAGTTTGCTCGTTTGATTATACTGGTGGTTCTTTAAGTCCACAGTCCCATGAGGGTCCCCGAGGCCCTATCAGGAGTCCAAAGGCTGAATTATTTCAATAACAGCACTATGACATTTGCCTCTTTTCACCACTATGTTGGCATTTTCAATAATGATACAAAAGCAATGGTGGGTCGGCACCTTAGTGCAGATTGAGGTGGTGGATCCAAATAGTATGAATAGTCCTTGTATTATTCACTATCATGCACTAAGAGTTAATAGTTTCAAAAACAAAAGCTAGTTTCATTTAACATTGTTCTCAATGAAACAGTAAATACTAATTTAACTTAGTTTAAACTTGTCTCTTGAGTCTGGCAAAATGAGTAGTATGAATACAATACTGCTGTTCCATATCAAAGGATGATGATTGTCTCAAGGAAAAGCTCTTATGCAGTTGTTTGAGTTGCATGCTGAACTAGTCAGGTTTTGAACAGAATACCATTGTTACTTGAAGGAATGAAAGAATACTGACAAACTGTGATTATTCAGACTTAGATATTCGGCAGACATTTTCTCGAAATGAATGAAATGGGCCTGTCAATTTCAGAAAAACTGACAGAAATTGTTGTTTTGTCAAAGATAACTTTTAAACACAAAGCAGAACTGTGGAAAACATATAATACTATGAGTTTGAGAGCTTCCAATACTTCAAAGTCCTTTTTTATGAGCTTGGTGGTTATATTAATGAAAATGGCTTTTTAATATAAATAATGAAATCTGTCAACACTTAGAAGAACATATATTTTTCAAGTTACCAAGAAATGTGTTACAAAATCATACCTACGTTCATTTAAAGTTCAAGCCAGGGCAATGGATTATAATATATCAAAGTACTCAATGGTCCTGACAAAATTTTTGATTCCATCCTTCAACTAACTTTTAAAAGAAAATTGTAAATTTTTGGTGTAATTTCAAAGAATACCCATAATTATCTGAAAATACTATTAAAATCATCCTTCCTTTTCTAACTACATAACTGTGTGAGGCTGATTTGTTTCTTCATATTCTTCAACGAAAACAACATATCACAACAGACTGAGTACAGAAGATGTGAGAATCTGGCTGTCTTCTGTTAAACCAAACATTGAAATATATTTGAAAAAATGTAAAGCAATGCCATCCTTTTCAGTAGATATTTTTGCTTTGGAAAACATTATTTTTTTATAACAATGTTATTTATGTTGACATATAAAGGCTTATTATTCTTATTTTGAAGCAAATAAACATTTAAAATTTCTCAATTTTAATTTCTTGCACAGTATATATTACTAGGTATAACCACATAAACAAATGCTATTTGGTGTCCTTAATAATTTTTAAGTGTGTGAAGGGGTTCTGAGACCATTATGTCTGAGAACTGCTGAGTTTGAGAAATAATCTAGAGAATATTATTCTCAATATCTATCAGATGGGGCAATTAACTTTTTATAAAATAACTTAAATTTTTATGTTTAGAAAATGTACTTTTGATGTCATTAAGTCAGTGTTTCCCAACCTTTTTTGGCGTTTGTAGAACCCATATTTCTATATGTCATTTACAGCTGAATAGATTTTGCTATACCAATACTGATTTAATTTAAAACAAAAGCAAAGAAACTTAATGTTTAGTATAGTCTTATTGATTTTGTGTATGCTCTTATAAATAGTGAAAAATAATTTGCAGACCCCAGCTAGTACCATGACCTAGCAACAAAGATTTTCCAGAGACTTGGGAACCTCAGGTTTACAACCAATGAACTAGCCATATCATATAATTACCCTGGTGCTCACAAAGAAAAGTGGTAATAATACAAAATAGTTTGTAAAACTAACTTCACTAAAAAAAAATCTCAGAGGGAATATTATGCTGATATTGGATCAATAATGTCATTTTTATATGTAAAGGAAATCACATTGTTTTCTAGACAGACCTAATGATTGAAAACTGTGAGTTAAAAAATATTTATTATTTATCCAGAGTAATCTAAATTCTTATGTTCAAAGGATAAAGGAAACTTATAAAAAATTAATAATTATGCATTTTGTTTGAATATAAGATTAGACAGTGTATTCTTCATGTCCTTGGTAAAATGTTACTCCTTGGCGAGGTCTTCTCTGATCATTCTAAGTAAGGTTTCCCTCCTATTATTTTCTATCACTACAATTTTTTCATTTCTTCTTGCATGGATTTCAATTTATAATTATGAAGTTATTGTAAAATTATATTTGAATAATTTGTTTATCTACCTATTTATTTTATTATACCATTGACTAAACTGTCACTGATTCAAAAGCATATATAATTTAGATTCAATCAAGAAGTCTTATAATTTAAAATATCTAATAGAAAGATTAATTTGACTTTCTTCACTCCTTTAAGAAATCAATATTCAAACTAGTTTTTTTATTATACTAGTATTCTGATTCAGCCTTAACAATTTAATTTTAAAATTACACTAAAGCAATAATTTTATCTTTGAGATATACATTATGATGCTGGTAAAAATTATCGAAAAGAAACAGAATCTTATTCCTAGATAAAAGTATAGAAAAAATTCCTAGGTAAAAAGATATTCACATACACTGCTTTATATGAATTCATTGTCAGTTTGAGCATGTAAGTGTTAATTAAGAGAAAAATGTCAAGACAAGCCACTTGCTCTCCTAAAGCTTTGCAATAAGCACATTAACTTAATAAATATCAACATTTTTATTTTTAGGATTTCACCTTAGTAAACTTGGAAATACCAAGTGAATTTTAAAATTGGATTTAATAATCACTTTGTAATTAAAATGTAATTACAACGTTTTAAAAGGACTAAGAACTAGTATGTATAATTAAATTATGCTTAAAATATTTATGTTCACAGTATATATTGTTAAGGGGGAAAAATGCTGTATCTTGGATAGCTCTTTATTACCAAGATTTGGATCTTAATATGTGGTGAATTGCTAAACATTAATAGTGACCTTAATTTTCAGCTTTAATTATTTCCCAGATTTTATAAATGAATACAGCTTATACAATTAGAATTTAATGCAGTCAAACAATAAATTATTTTGATTTAAAATTTAAAAGACATGAATGAAATTCATCTATCCAATTTTAGTCTAGAGAACTCAATGTTTTCATTCAGTGAAGATGTAGTTGATTATCATCCAAATGGCATTAACATACATTTCATGTCTAGAATGTGCTTACAATTTTTCTTCACTGAAGATTTAGGACCTCAGTTTTTTTAAACTATAAAATTAATATGTTATTTTTGATACAAGTCTAAAAACAATAATATACAACATTAACACTATGAAGACTTTGCTAAGAAGGTTGTACCATGGAATGTAAAAGCAACTGCATTATATATCAAGAACTGCTTGAGATCACTTCTAGTTAAATCCAATTACAACACTGATGAATTCAGAGAAGTTGAGAAAGAAATTGAGAAAAACAGCTATGCAAGTTCTTAAATTTGATATAGAGAAAAAGTCACAATTTGAGAAATTACCTGCAGAGCCCTAGAATAAATTCAGTGTACAGACTGATATCTAACACCATATCCTATTAAGTAAGGAGACATTTTACTCTTAACCTTCTGATGCCAATATTGGATCCATTCCATAGAAAACGTGATAAAAAGCACAAATGATTATCTTAACCAGGGAAGGTAGATTCCAGGAGTAAGCAGTCATAGCCATAATTAAGTTTGCTATTTAATTTATCACATACATTGAAGATGTGAGGCAGTGAATAAATATCTAATACTTTTTCCCCCATACACAATTCAGTACTTGGGAAAATTATAAAAAATAAATATTAAGATACTTCTTCCCTCCCCCAAAGGTTGGCATTAAAACTTTCTTTCTAATCAATTTAGATGTGTTTCCAAATATTAGGCAGCAACATTCCAAGTTGGATATGTTTGAAAAAAATTTGGAATGATACTAGAGCAGGGAGCTACCCCAGACTGGACAGGTTAAAAAACAACACACCTTTTGGTAATATTATTTTATTTTGGCCAAAAATGCGTTGATCTGCATAAACATGTAACTCCACATCTATACTGATGAGTATGCTAAGAAAATAACAAGTCCACAGCAAAGTAATAGGAGCTACAGAAAGTGATACCTGATGTAGAAGTAGACATTTTGCATGAAATTTTTATTGTCCTTCTGTTGGCCTAGTATGACAATTTGTGAAACAGTAGGTGGTAACTATCTTATAGTCCATTAATTTTTCATTTTATTTATCATGCATGAATCCGACCTTGACAAGCAGAAGAAAATATTAGTTAGTTTTCCCAGATTCACATCATAGCCACAATACCAAGGGACTGTACTTACTTTTGGTGTTGGGCAGGAAGCAGTAGAAAGGCGAGATGTAGCCTGAGCACGAGGCGATTCTGAAGGAGTAGTGCTGAGGGAAGCTGTGTCTCGTGGGAGCACCTGAACGCCACGAGAAATTATCGAGTCTGGAATCTGAACAAGGGGAATATGCATGGTTTAATATTCTAAAAATACTAACAGCACGTAAAACCAATACCCACACCTAACTTGTTGTTGGATGGGGACATTCTTTTCTTCTCATATACTGTTAGTTATAAAAGTATCCAACGATTTGACGTAGAATAGAAACCTCCAGATTCAAAGTATTTCCCCTGGCCAAATAATATTTTATTAAACTTCTTTATGAGAGGTCTTAACCACAATTGCAGTGTGGTCAGGAGTAAAGTGTTTGGCATTCATATACTGACTCTGTAATTTAATAGTTATGTATTTCCCAGATATTTTCCATTTCCCTTTCAGATTCATTTTCCATCCTTCTTCACCCTCTCTACTTTAAACTGACTTGTATAGATAGAATCAACAAGATATCCTGGGCTTTCTGGTTTCCAGTTGGATTCAGCCAATGGGAGGCACTGTCAGGAAAGTAAAAGAGTGGAAGAACATAAAGTCTGGTATTTATTCCCCTGGCTTTTTCTCTACCAGGTCATTATAAGTTAGCTAGGATCAGAGCCATGTCAGATGACACTTGCTTATAGCTCTTTTCTGGATTGTAATAGCAGCTCCCTTCCTTTGCTCCATTAGGACTATCCACTATTACTAGTCCCAGGGCACTGCATTATGTCTGGTTGCTTCCCTTAAAACAGTGATGGCGAACCTATGATACGCGTGTTAGAAGTGACACGCAAACTCATTTTTTTTGGTTGATTTTTCTTTGTTAAATGGCATTTAAATATATAAAATAAATATCAAAATTATAAATCTTTGTTTTAGTATGGTTGCAAATATAAAAAAATTTCTATATGTGACACGGCACCAGAGTTAAGTTGGGGTTCAAAAGGTTCGCCGAGCTCAAAAGGTTCACCATCACTGCCCTAAAATCTGCCCAAACCTTTGAAAATACCATAGTCCTTTATTAAACTCTTCTCCATTTAAGTACGCTATGACTTCTGCAGGGATACTGATGACTATAGTTTTCCTTTTTTTAAAAAATTGAGAAGACATTAGTTTTATTCATACCAGAGGAATATAATTTTCTAATCATCATTTCTTTTATCTAAAAAATGAAGACAATGATAGCTTCTACCTCACTGGATTACTGATGAGGATTAAATAAGATAGTGTATTTAAATTATCTAGCACTTCCAAGTAGTAAACATTTAATAAATGTTGGCTATTATTATTATTATTATTAAATTATTCCTATCAACATGGTAAAGACTGATGTAATTGAGAATCACCATTCTAAAAATATACAAACATAAGGGCAAATAATGTTAATTATTTATTTTAAAAATCATTAATATTTATGTTGATTATAAAATTTATTATTTGGGGCTATGCATAATTTAGTTCATGTTCTGGGCTACTACTAATGGTATAGTTCTTCTATTCTCAAAGTGAAAATGTGATTACTTTCCAGTTTTGTGCACAAGATGGGAACAAGGTGATATTCAAAGAATATACCAAGAGAGATAAAGGGGAAAGAAACAGTCATTAGTGGTCTGAGAGAGAGCTATTTCATTATTTCATGAAGATAAATACTTGATTATAGGATATAAAGAAAAAAGATGAATGTAAGAAAAAGGAGGCAATGAATATGGATTACTCTGTTGATGAACATTTGTATTATTTTCATTTTGGAGACATTATGAACAATGCTACATTCTTGTTAATATATCGTAATTCCCACATGCATTAATTCTAGCACATGTACATATACTCGGGAACAGAAGTGCTGTTATAGGGTATAAATACCTTCTTTTACTAATTCCTAAATTGGTTAAGCCAATTTATGTATCTCACAAAAGAATGGTAACAATTGCTCTTATTCCACAATTTACCTCTACCTAGTAATGTCAGTATTATTAATTTCTGTCAAATCTGGTAGGTAGTATGGTGGTTTTACTTTTCCTTACCCTAATTATTAATGAGGGTAAATACCTTTTCATCTTTATTAGTCATGTAGATATTCTCTTTTGTAAAGTCCCTGTTCAAGTCTTTTGCCCGATTTTCCCTTATTGGGTTCTCTTTTATTGAATTGTTATACTTCTGTATCTATTCTGAATAACTAGTCTTTTATCAGTTTTATATTGTATAAATAAATATATAATCCTACTATGCAGATTATCTTCTTCCTTTATCATGTATTTTTATGAATATAATCTTTTTATTTTAATTTAGTTAAATCTATCAATATTTTCTTGTATAGTTAGTAGTTTTTGTGTCTTAGAAGGAATCCTTTCTAAGTGACAATAGTGGAAATGGCAGAGTAGGAATGCCAAAAGTTCATCCTTCCACTAAAGAGATGAATAAACTAGCAATAATGTCAGAATCAACTTTACCAGAAATCTAGAAACTAATAAAAAGTTTACTAGTATAGTAACTAGGAGAATGCTTAATCAATTTAAAAAACCCTACTGATCCTCCAATACACAGCTCAATGAATGGCCTTGAAGACACAGTCCACAATCCTGGTAAAGGTTTTTACAAATGAAGGAGAACAAAGCTTATTCTAAAAAATTGTGGTTGTTTGTTTTAACATGTCTGGTGGTTCACTGAAGGACACACTTGAAGGGCTGCCTTTATTTCCCCTGATTTGTAACATTCCCAGAGCTCAGGCAGCTAACTAGGGAAAGGGGGCGGGGCACAGTAGTTGTCAAAATCTACTAAAGGGGGTCAGCAGCATACTTGAATAAGAAGAAAAAGAATTAATGAACTTGAAGATAAATCAATTTAGAATGCCCAGTTTTAGAAGCAGAAAGAAAAAAGAAGAAAAGTAAACAGAACTCAAGAAATCTAAGGGACACCAATAACTGTACCAAGATATGCATAATGGGAGTTCCAGAGAAGAGGAAAGAGGCAGGGATAATATTTGAAGAAATAAGGCACCCAAACTTTCTAAATTGATAAAGACAAAAAGCTCAACAACCCTAAGTTGGATAAACTCAAAGATTTCTAAACGAAGACACATTATAATCAAACTTCCGAGAGAAAAAGACAAAGACAGAATCCTAAAAACAGCAAAAGAGAAGCACTCATACAAAAGATCCTCAATAAGAGTAACAGCTGATTTCTCAACAGAAACCATAGGGATCAGTAGGCAGTGAAATGACAAACTAAAAATGCCAAAAATTGTATATCTGGCAAAATACTTCAAAAATAAAGGTTAATTCAAGACATTCTTAGATAAACAAAAACTGAGAGAGTTCAATGCTAGTAGACCTGCCCTATAAATAATGCTAAAAGGAGGAAGTCCTTCAGGCTGAAGTGTAAGGACATTAGGTAGTAATTTGGAATTCATATAAAGAAATAAACAACACTGGTATTCTGCATAGGTAAATATAAAAGTCAGTATTGTAGAGTGTATATTTTGGTTTGTAAATACATATATATATATATATTTGTTGCTTACATAATTTAAAAAGACAATTTTAGCGCTAGCAGGTTTGGCTCCGTGGATAGAGCATCAGCCTATGGACTGAAGGGTCCCGGGTTCGAGTCTGGTCAAGGGCACATGTCCAAGTTGCAGGCTTGATTCCCATGCAAGAGGCAGCCAATCAATGATTCTCTCTCATTATTGATGTTTCTCTCTCTCTCTCCCCGCTTCCTTTCCAAAATTAAAAAAAATAAACAAACAAATAAAGAAAGAAAAAGACAATTCCAAGTAAAAAGTAACCAAGAGAGATGGAATGGCTATAATAATATCAGAAGAAATGGATATTAAGCTAAAAACTACTATAAGAAGTATTATATAATGATAAAAAAGTCAATTTATCAGAATATATGACAATTATAAACTTACATGTACTTAATCAGAGCCCCACAATATATGAAGCAAAAACTGACAGTATAAAAGAGAAAAAATAGTTTAACAATAGTAATGGGATATTCCAATGCTCAACTTTCAATAATGGTTAGAACAACTAGTTAAAAGGTCAAAAAGTAAAACAGATGACTTGAACAGTATAAATTAATTAGACCTAACAACCATGTAGAGAACAATCAGCCTGATAACAGTGGAATATGCATTTTTCTTAAGTGAATATGGAATATTTTCCAGGATAGATAAAATGTTAGGGCACAACATAATTTTCAGTAAAATATTAAAATCATAAAATGCATTTTCTCTGATTATAGAAATCAATACAGGAAGAAACTGGGAAATTTACAAATATGTGGTAATTAAACACATTCTTAAACCAATGAGTCATGGAAGAAATCATAAGGAAAATTAGAAAATATTTTGATATGAATAAAAATCTACACTAATAAAAGAGAAAAATGGTAATTGGCGTACGACACTACCCTTTTCATTGGCTAATCAGGGCTATATGCAAATTAACTGCCAACTAAGATTGGCAGTTAACTGCCAACAAGATGGCGATTAATTTGCATATGTAGGCACAATGCAGGGAGGCGAAAGGGAAAGCAGGAAGAAGCCCC